GTAATTGTTTAAAATTATAAAAATTAAATAATTAATTTTTCTCGTTCGTAACAATCAGCGACCCCGAGAACCCCCGAGTAACGTGATTCAAGTGAATTCAGTGCATTTAAAAAAAAGTGGTCGGACATTTTGGATCCGCCATTTTGGATTTTCAAAAATTGACATCGAATTCGAAATAAGTGACCCTGAAAACCCCTGAGTAACGAGTTTTAAGAAAGTTTATTCAGTTCTTTTTGGTTTTACTCATTTTTGAATTTTTTTCACTTTTAACACTATTTTTTGAACTTAAACCTCAATTTTTAAAAAATCGGTCCATTTTTTTGAATTTTGTAATTTACATTTTTTGTTCAGAAGGTCAGAAAAAACAGAATTACAAAGTTGCAGAAAATTTCACCAGACCCCAAATTTTCATGTAAATGGTCCGGGGTTCTTTCATGCGCCTCAATCTTAATACCTCGTAAACAATAATAATATTTTTCTTTTACCATGAAGAATTAGAGTCATCTTCAGGAAAGTGGTCAAGATCGTCTTCGTCGTCTTCATCATAATTTTCGTTCTTTTTATTGGTAATTTTTTTATTTTATTAATTTTTAAGAATTATTTAATAATTTTAATCTTTAAATGCCATATGTATTTCTTAAAATTAAACTTTTTCTTAAATGCATTAAAAAAAGAACTTTACTTTTTTAATGTGATTAAGGTTAGATTTTCTTGAGCGTTAAATATTTTCATATTATTCTTATTGCGTTTCACGTGAGAATATATATATTACAAATGTATGATAAATTAAAGAATATATTTTTTTAATTTTAACACTATTGTATTACTAATGGCTGACAACATTATGCCTTTTTTTGGTCATATAGTCTTTATACACAATTCTGTCCATTCACTTAATTTTAATAGTATCATCTAAATTAAAATTAGTGACCGTGACGCTCCCGGCACTAGAATAGGGCGTCTGTAACCTACCGCATGTCGTAAAAGGCGACTAAAGGGGGCACTTTTTAAATTATTAAAAGCTGCGTGAATATAACTAAATAATTGACTGACAGACTAACTAATTGATAATACATATTACACGAACAGACAACAAATACATAATATAGGTTCGTCTTACAGACTGCAAATCAATTCTCATCCGATTATTTGATAATTTGTTTTATCTAAAGATTTGAGTTTCTGTACGCTCTGTGCAACGGCCACATATTTGGTGAAACATAGAATGCTACATCAACATGTAGCAAGTCTACAAACATTAATTACAAGACATTTAATATGTGACTGAAGCTTAAATTAATAAAAAAATTGTTCATCTTCAAGCATAAAGTATTCTTGAAATGAAAAACATTAAAGAAAATCGACTCAAAAGTATTAGAACATTGTTTATATTTACTGTTCAATCTACAAAAACGAGAATGGTTAACATCAAATATCTCTAAATCTTAAGGTAAATATTTTTAATAGGAAGCTAAATATAAAATATAGGATTGATTTAGTCACATTAATAATAAAATTAATTTATACTTTTGTCTTCTATTTTTTTCATTTAGTTCCATTATTTTAAACCTACAATAGGAAAAAGAAATCCTCATCCTACAAAGAGAAAAAGTTTTCTGTTTTTTTCTATGCCTAAACCAATCATGAAAAACCAACTGAAGATGCCACTAATAAATTAATAATTTGTTTTATTTAAAAATTTGCATTTTTGTATGCTCTGTGCAACGGACATATATATGTCCAGACACAGGTTGCTACATGAAATGGTAGCCGATTTTAAAACAAATTATTAGACCATTTCATTTGACATTGAAATTAACGAAAATTATTTTTGGCCTTCAATCATCAAGAATCCTTTAAAGAAGCAATATCAAAAACCGACGCTAAAGTACCTGAAGAACATTTTTATTTGCAGTTCAACTTACACAAACGAAAAATATTCGCGCTAATACTATTCAAATTTTCTAAGTAAAATAGTAAAAGGCATTTCATGCTTTATTTTTATTAATTTATAAGAATTACTAATTCATTGACATTGTAGTAAATTTGCGAACTCTGATTTTAAAGTAATTCTGTACATTAAATTCTGTCCCATGAAGTTTTATATTAGAATTAAATTAAATTCATAAATACTTCATTTGTTTTAATTAATGTAGAAAGCTTCGCGCATAATTAAAAATTTTCTTTATCAGTTGCATGATTCCGATCCTTCAAAGTGCAAACCAATCATATTCCTTGAAGAAGAGAAAGTATTCTGCTTCATTTGATGTTTAAGCCATTGATGCAAAACAAACTGAAGATGTCACTACCGTCAACTAATAATTTGTTTCTTATTTTATAAATTTGCGTTATTGTATGCTCTGTGCAACGGACATAGCTATGTCCAGACATAGGTTGCTACATGACATAACAAATTTTTAAACACAATTTATTAGACCATTTCATCAGATATTGAAATTAATGGTAACTGTTTTTCGCCTTCAAGCATGAAGTTCTCTCATTACTCCAGAAATGTAGTATTCGTAAAGCTTCTTATCATATGTCCGTTTCATCATATCACTATTACCCTCGTCATTATGAACCATGCAAACTAATCCATTCTCAAATTGGATCCCTTACTGACTTTGAAAACCTTGGTAAATATTTTTCATTTGGAATATTCATTAAACGTATTTTTTACCCTTTTTCATCGAATTGTTGATTGTGACTAAAAAAAACTTTTAATTAAAAAACTAACATAGATAGAACATATCTATATTCTATATCTTTATTCAATGTAAATTTTTTATGCTTGTCTATGAAAACTAATGAAATTTCTTTTTTTAGGATAGAAATGAAACGTTCAATCTGCTTTGTTCACTCACCATAAACTAAAAAATAGCAAGATGATTACTTATCAATTGTTAACTTCTTTTTTCTGTGATGGAAATGGAAAGCACTTTAAAGTCTTACAATAACAAGTACACACTAAAGATAAGAATTTCACTGTCATACAAAGGCATTTACTAAACTGAATTTTTTTCTCCTTTCGATATTTAAAAACTAAACAAAATGACAATTACATTAAAATTTTCAGTTGGTAGAACAACTGAAGTTAATAATTTTTATTATTTACATAAGAAAACGAAAGCAAAACTTAATTTTCATTCAGTTTTGTAAACGAAATGAAAGTAGAATTTAATTTTTGTTTTACTTTTGATTATGATATCAGAATCACAAGTTGTGTAGACTAAGACTGTCAATTATGAAATACCCTATTGAAAACAAAAAGAATTGTTTCTAAAATATTTATTATTTTCTCGTGCTAATGATGATGAAAATGTCACATTTCACTGTGTTCCGCAATGTTTCTCTTTTATATAAATTACGCTAACTCGTATACTTAATTTTAAAATAACTGTTTTGTCGAAGGTGGCTGTGAAAAATTTGAAAAACACGGAACATCCTCAGTATTTCTACGCGTGGTCTACAAATAGTAGGTTTATTCAAAAAACAATGACAAGACGTGATGTCAACAAATGTGTAATACAGTCCGATAAAATCCGATAACTACCCACAGCGTACATGATATTTCCTAAATAAATTTAAAATACTTTATTGAAAATTTTAAATATTATTACCAGTATGAAAATATTCACCATTGGGAAAATATTAACACAAAATTTGAGAAAACCATACAGTTTAACATTTTTAAATTTTTACCTAAATGATGCGCACTGGTCGAACTCACTTTCTGTGGCTTATTCAGCTGCTCAATAATTTTTAAATACATATATAATTTCTACAATTGTTAAAAAATAGAGAATAATTTTATACATTAAAAATATTCTATCTGTAAAATTCTTTTGATACAGTCTGATTTTCGAAATTAAGTATACGAATTGGTTTCAACTTATACTGAAAGTACAATACGGAACACCGTAAATAACGACGAATCTTAATCGGCCTAGATAACTAAGATTCAATAAAATTTATAATCACCGCAATATTAATTATATCCAAAAATTGTGATAAATCGTTAAAAAATACAATTATAAAATGTTTTTAAATTGTTAGATAATAATAATTTTTGACGAGAAACTTCTTATAGCAGACGTTAAAGTGACACCTAGTCCTGCAAGACTATGTGTCAGAATGACGAATATGTTTCAAAGTTTCGGACAAAAGTAATAATTACGTTTGTCCGTAAACTTCTTGAAGCAGACGTTAAAGTGACATCTAGTGCTGCAAGACTATGTGCCAGAATGACGAAAATGCTTGAAAAATTTCAGACAAAAGTAATAATTACGTTTGTCCGGAAACTTTCAGCAGCAGACGTCAAAATAACACCTAGGGCTGCAAAACTCTCTGTCGTGATAACGATACAGATCAAAATAGTATCAGGCAAATGTAATAAAAAATTTTTAAGAGAAACTTCTTCTTGTTTGACCAGAAACTTCCTTTTGCAAACTTTAAAATGACACTTAGTGCTGCTAGACCAGGTGTCATGATGACGAAACTACTAGAAAATGTTTCTATGTAAAGTTAAATTCTAAGTTAAGAAAATTCTGAATTAAATTAATAAAAAATAAAATATAATAACGAACAAAACAAACATCTAGTTTAAATAAATTTAATTAATTTATATTAGTAATTAAAACTGTTTTTTTATGTTCAATATAATATTTTAATTTTGTATGTTCAAAAAAAAATTGGGTGAATGTCCTATTCTCTAATAGTCGATGAAAAAAAGAAACGTTTTTTATCATTGCAATAATTCTAAAATTCAATACTTTTAGAGTTAGATGTCATTCAAATTATTTCTATTAAAAAAAAGTCGTAAAACTAGATTTTGAAAAATTTAATTACTCAAAAATTTAAACACTTATAAAAGTATTTAAAAATCCGTTAATCTTTTTTCTATAATGAACGGAAAAAATATATTTACCTAATTTAAAATGTCATAGGTAAATTTCACGTGGAATCGCCCATATGTTATATAATATATAAAATATACACACCTGTTATATCTATTGCTCGCAATGTATCTAAAATATTCTCTGTAATATCTTCGGGCACGCGGGTTAGTTTGTTGTTCTGTAAGCTGAGAGTTTCTAGAGAATTTAAGTTGTCAAATACCATTGTGGGTAGTACTTTTATTCTGAAACAAAGCGAATTTCAAATATGCAGGTTTAAATCTGTCAGAATATGATTAAGACTTAATGTAATTTTTCTCCTCCATATAACATTATTTTTAAAAAGTACATAACGCTCATTGTCAGTAAAGCCATAATGTGTCTGTAGAAAAATGAACATAGATACAACAAATTTTAACCATTTACCTGAGAAATAATTTTTCTTAAAAACGAGATTTGTTGAATAACTTCATGTGTAAAACTTTAACGCTTTTAATTATATCTATGGGTAAATTTTGAAATATATTTGTCTTCTTCTGCATTGGGATTCCGTTAAGCGCCGGTGCTAAGTAGCGCTGCTCTATATGTATATAGTGCTATATGAAGCAAAACAAATTGCCACTGACATTCAGTCAAATTGCTACCTAGAATAGAGACAAATTGTGCTATACAGCGCAATGCTTCATATCGCTGAGTGCTACGTGCTCTAGGGTGACCAAAAAAAAGTATTTTTTTATTTTAAAATCGGTAAACATTTAATGGTGCCGCCAGGCCCTTGAAGTTTTGTATGTATTTTATATGGCGAAAAACTGCTTTTTCGTAAAAGTGCAATAATTTCGTTGAATCTTAAAATTTTTTAATCGAAAAACGACATTTCTTTTCAGGAGTGCTCAAACTATAAAGTTCTAATAATTACTTTAAAAAAATTAAATTACCTATTTTTATTAGACAGAAAAAACCAGTAGAAAGTGATTGTCAAAAATTAACAATAAGATTTGGTTAAACAAATCGACGCCCTTTGATGATAAAGTGTTAATTCAAACACAACTGCAAAAAGTGTAAGAGTAAGACCTGGAATATTTTTAAGTTTATTAAAAAACTGTCGGATGTGGAGGAGGCTGCATTTTTTATGTACATCCACTTTTTCGATCATCTGTAACTTTTTTCCTTTTGTATGTACAAAAAATTTTATTCCAATGTTTTTTAGGTTTTTAACCTACTTTTTGACGATAATAAAAGTTTTTGAAAAAATCAAAATTTGACTCCTTTTTGAAAAATTAAACTAAAAATTCATTTTTTTCAACTTACGACCCTTTCTATTTTTTTGAAAATATTTTAGTTCGAAAACTCATTTTTTCCAAAAAAATATGTAATTTTCTAAAGGGCTTTTTTCCTGACGCCTGCCTGTCTTTTCGTTAATGTGATACATGTCACTGATGGAGGTAACGAGAATTCATGAAGAATTTTTACCTTCTGTTCGCCGGATACTTTTCCGAGCCGAATTTTCAATTATTTATTTAAATAAAAGGTTATGTTCGAAGTTAGATGTGTTTTTTATATCTTGTAGATCATTTATAGCATAATTTATTATAAATAACTATTGTATCATAACAAATTATTATTAACTAATTATTAATTATAATTGTTATTACAATAATTATAATTTGTAATTGTTAATAATAAATATTATTGTTTTACCCAGATAGCACAACTTTTTGCAGCAAATTTGCAATGCCAAATTATAAGTTTACAATGTAAATTTGCTGCAAAACTGTGGCAAATAGCTGTATGTCCTTGCTTTGCGAAGTTCGCATTGCAAGTTTGCAAAAAAATTTCTCAGAAAAATTGCAGAAAAATTTTATGACAAATTTTAAGAAAACTTGCGGACATTTTTTGACAAAAATTAAAAAATGTCATTGTTGTAAATATGATGATATTTTGTTACTGCAAACCTTTTCTAAAGGAAAGGCGACTAAAATCTATTGCGCAGCCCCAAGTGACATAGAGACATTTTTCTGCAAACTTGCGATGCATACTTCGCAAAGCGTGGACATATAGCTATTTGCCACAGTTTTGCAGCAAATTTACATTGCAAACTAACAAATTTGGCATTGTAAACTTACTGAAGAATTGCTGCAAATTGTTGTGCTATCTGGGTAGTGATTTATAATTTATAATGTTACATATATATATATATATATATATATATATATATGTGTGTTTAATATGGATAATATTATATTGTTAACTTATAGTAAATATGTAAATGTGAAAAGGCACTAATTATAAAATCTGTTGCACTGGCCCAAAACGTCAGTTCTCCTTTGAGCTCACTTGGGATTGGCTTTCCTCCCCTGCCTAGCCTGACCTACCGCTAACACTACTCAATACTTAGAAAAATTCTGAGTTGTTGGACTTAGAAACATTTCGAGTCATCGAAATTAGAAATTTTTCCGAAACTCCGACTTAGAATATTTCTTCGATATTGATACTTAGAAATTTTCGCCCTTGTGGGACTTAAACATTTTCGACACACTGTACTTTAGAAATAAACGATCACTTATACTTTGACTCGTTTCAATCAATGCTACCCCCCCCCCCCCCGACTCTAACGTTTTACACTTTCAGGCACTCTCTAACGCAAAACACTCTACGTATCGAGTTGGTTTCCTCTCAATACTAGAGCTTTTTTGAACTCATTGTTGAGCTGGCTTTCCTCTCAACCATCCAAAAGTCGAGCTGGTTTCCTTTCGGAACTACTACACACACACGGTATCGAGTTGGTTTCCTCTCGATACCTATCTACACATACTATATTGAGTTGGTTTCCTCTCAATATCAGTAAATTACACACAATACCGAGATGGTTTCCTCTAGGAACTACTACACACACGGTATTGAGTTGATATCCTCTCGATACCTATCTACACATACTATATTCAGTTGGTTTCCTCTCAATATCAGTAAATTACACACAATACGGAGCTGGTTTTCTCTCGGAACTACTACATACACAGAATCGAGTTGGTTTCCTCTCGGTATTGGAGTACAACCAACTTTCTCTTTTTTAAAATTAAGCAATCAAACAATCGCTCTTCTCTTTTTTTACCCAACTTTAATGAATTTAATGTCACTTTGCCACTATTTCGCTGTACCTTTGAAAACTCCCCATTGGTTATGATGCAAAATAGATTTGGGCGTTGCCCGGTTACTCCCTCTACATAATTTATGACACCCTGTCACACTGAAAACAAAGTCTTCATTGCAGTCGATTTTTTAATACCTGTTACGTTTATATTTAATTTTGAAGGTAAGCGTAGTCAAAAGGTATTTTATACTTCGGAAGTCGTTAGCAAATATTTCAATTAGGCCCGAATCCGCTTTCGGAATAAATAAACGAATCTATTACTGATGGGATAAATATTAAAGTACAGAAAACCGAAATACAGACAACTTTCTGAAGTAAACTGTCGCAGAAAAATGTATCGGTTCTGGAGGAGAATTTCCAGGCTTTTATACCCTTTCGTATAGGGGTGACGGGGCAAAGGTGACGTTGTGATGATTTTAAATAGCCAATCAACATATTAAATAATATATATCGTCACTGTTACCCAATCTGAATTAAATTGCTTTATAATGACCAATAAGAATTCATCTGATGGGGAGGAGTCATTGTTGTTTCTTGGTAAAAAGTGGGGAAATACACTGGTTCTTCTCCTCCAGACAAGTCTTGGAAAAATGATCTTATTACATGACTTATATATATGCTAGTTATTTTCAGTTAATTAAGATATTAATAAAAGTATTAATTAGTATTAATAATAAATAAACATGTAAATCATGTAAAAGGTCCCATTTTTGTGAAATTAATAATAAAATCAAATAACATTCAATCATACAAACATACAATAAGTTTGTATAATGGAATATAATGTTACATCCCGAGCGAAAGGCGAGGTTGAATTTAATTTTAATTAATAAAATCAATTTTAAACTTTTGGAGGAATGGTAGGCTGATTAAGTCAAGTTGGTAAAGCTTGACCATTTATTTTTATATGAGAACGTTTGTTTTTATCGATCCTACGGGGGACGTCTTTTAATTTATTTTACTATAAAATAATTGCCTTGACACTTATAGTTGTTAATTTAAATATGAATTTAGGTATATGAGAAACTCAGTGAAGAATTTTATTGATATAAATGAAGTATAATTTATTAATATAAATGAATTAAATCAAAATGTTACAATAATGTTTTATGTTAAAAGATGTTGTTACAAGAATTGTGAATTTTAAAATATAGTACTTACAATTACCTCTGTTCAGAGGGCAGAAACAAATATAAATTGACAAGTTGGCACTTGTCCTTGACGCTGTGAGTTTTTACAACTCCTGAAAAGGAACGGTTGAGACTTCCTCACAGTTTTTTTTAGTTCGTAAACTCCGAAATGCACACACGTCACGTTTGCCAAATCGTTAAATTGAGAATACACTAATACGACGATTAACAATAAAATTTAATAAATGACAAGCTTACAAATCTGTCGATGATGATTACTTGCTCTACTTACCGAACAACGAGTAAACATATACTGTTTGAGATGCAAGAGTTACAGTCGTAATAATTTTAAAGTAACCGCAGGGTCAAACTCACGATGGTAATTTCACGTTATGAAACGAACTATGAAATGATTCCGGAGCAAATGACGACTGACAGTGGATTTACATGGGTTTTTATACTAGAAATTTGCCCTCAGTGGGAGTAAATAAGTTCAAAGATCACCCCATCTCTAAGCTTGACTCTTAGATTTTCATAGAACTGTAACAATTCTCAGAGCTTAGATGAACACCTGCATCCTGTATCGCATAGCACAAGTATCGCTATTACATTGTCTATAAGCATCTCACAATATTGCGACGCTAGAATACTGTGCTTGCGCCTCGCTAACGCTTACATGAGTCATAAGTCCACTCGCTGCTACTGAGTAATGTGCGTAGTAGTGTCAAATGGCATAGGTTTAATTTCTATGAATAGCCTACCAGGCTTTCGATATTCAAGTCAAAGGTTAACCTATGCGATTTGATACAAGTGAGAAGTATATCATCGCATAAGACTTATACTTTATGCAGCTGCAAAAACAATTCCTAAGAATTAGCCAAAGAATTGCGTGGAAATCATATTAGGAAAGTTTTTATATTGAGCATTATTCATACTTTTGAATAATAGCGTTTTGTGATCTTAAACT